CAACATATTCTGTTACACCAAATACACAAAATAATGATCTTTAAAAAAGCATCATATGACCCCTTTAAAAACGGCTCAGAACGCCAAATCTGTCAAAATCAAGCTGACCAAGAAGAGCTGCCCGTGTCTCACGCTCGCCGCGGAGCTGGTGAACAGCCGGCAGTAACAGCAAAGATTAGAACAGAACTTGAATAATTAATACTTTTAATATTTTTGCTCTGTTTTTATGTTTTTTATTATTATTTTGACTTTGTTTTTATATTTTCTCTTTTCATTTTAATTTTGTAGTTTTTACCATTTTTATTACATTGTTTTTTTTATATTTTAATAGTTTTTATTCATAAATATTTCAGTTTTTTTAGTACGTCAAGTTAAAGTAAATGAAAATGCAAAAAAAAATTCATTTTATTTAATATGACAACTTTATGATTGTATTTTTTAAAACTATATTTGCATTGTTTTCTTCCAGTATATAGTATAAATATGTTTGATAAACCTGACAGCATGACGGTCTGACAGTGATCACAGACTCCCTCTCACACACACACACGCACACACTCTCTGTCACTCTCTCACACACACACGCTCACACACACACGCACACACTCTCTGTCACTCTCTCTCACACACACACTGTGTTCGCAGTTTCTTATGTAAATGTGTGTATATATGAATAAAATACGTTTGATAGTTTATTTTGACCTTTTATTTAAAAACATTTTCAATGTTATAGAAAATCACAAAAAGGTGTTTCAATATCACTTTGCACAACTTATGTTTCAGAGCATCTTTATAGAGCATCCAATCAAGCCGAAGAACTCTTCCTCATGTGAAGGTGAAGCTGTCTTGATAAGCAGGCTGTGTTCTGAATCCCAGTAAAAGTCTAGTCAAGTTCAGCGGTGGGAGAGGAGAGAGAAGAAACAAGGAGTTCTGTAACTGACTGCGGCAATCAATTGTGACTAACCCACCGCCTTCGAACCCGCCGACATTTTCTGCAGCGCTCAGCATATTTATACCTCGATACAGACACAGCGGTGTCGACGACGGTGACCTGCGCTCATGATGCTCTCCTGTGCCTCGAATGCGTCAGTCTGTGTTCCTACAACAAACATATGATCTCCTTTAAACTCTACGAATCGCATTAAAGGCGATATTTTGATCTTTTATGCCGTTTCTGTGATTCAAAGCGGTGCATGATGGGAAACGTCTGGATCTGTCACCTCATTGGACGGCAGCATCACATGACTGATTCCTACTGGACTGTTTCCTCCGGAGGCGCTGAGCAACTTAAAAACCAATTCCAAATAGCAGTACGACTGTATGTTTATTATTTATATAGTAAAAGTTTAGATGTATTAATTTCACGGATTTGTGCAGTGCAGTGATCGAGGTCGAATCTGATTGGCTCATCCTGAGACAAGCGCTGAGAAAAGTAACAGCGGCGCGTCACGTTGCTGTTTGGACAATAATTTACATCTGAATTATGAAATTAACAAACATGAGCCGCTATATCACCCCTATTTCTCCAATGTGAAGTTCTGCCACGTTCGCTTGAATTTTACCGCATTTAAATGTCGATAAAAATGGAAGTTACTGAAACAACTAATGTTTTAGATTTATGACTTCAGCTTAAAATTATTATCTGCCAAATACTAATTTATTGAGGTACGTTTCTGCTAAATTCCCTCCTTACCGCCACAGCAAATAAAATATGTATATTTAATATAAAATAATTCATGACGAGCTGAGAAAACACGTCTAGTCTCATTATAAAACATGCATAATTAAAATAAAACCGAACGAACGAATCTTAATTATTAATCATTAGTAATTAAATATTTAAGTTTTGGATTATTTATAGTTCCTCAAGGGAACAACTTTCTTCCCAATGTTTCTTTGTGTACAGTGGCAGTGTACATTAGTATCAGGTAGAATACTATAGTATTTTTATATGTACCCACTGATCTATATAATTATATGAATTCTCTGTTATAGATCAGTGTATGTACCATGGCACTGAATGATTACCATGCGCATATACCATAGTAAAACAAAGTATGATGTATTTGATGTTCGAGAGCAGCAGATGTCGCTGTTTCACACACACGAGCTGAAAGATGAACACAAACATGAGTCTCATGATTCTTACCTAATCAACACACACACACACACTAATGAGAGTTACTGACACACACACACTAATGAGAGTTACTGACACACACACACACACTAATGAGAGATACAGACACACACACACACACACACACGAGAGAGAGAGAGAGCGAGAGAGAGAGAGAGAGAGAGAGAGGCGGTCAGAGCGCAGCCGGGGGACACAGAGAGACGGAGGAGTGCAGAGACCCACCGGCGGGAGGCACAGGAGGGAGAGACGGATGCACACACACACACACACACACGAATGAGAGTTACTGACGCACACACACGCGCGCGCGCACACACACACTAATGAGTTACTGACACACACACACGCACGCGCACACACTAATCAGAGTTACTTACACACACACACTAATGAGAGTTACTGACACACACACACAC